ATTGAAAAAAGACCAAATCCATTAGATTTAAATTCATTTTGGGGTTTGTTTTGTAAAAAATACCTAAACCAATTCATGTAAAGCTTATACTAACAGTAAACGCAACAGTTGCTTGTAATCATTTAGTCCTCCTGCCCCTTCACCTCTCTAACCTTCTTTTCTGCCTCCCTCCGCCTTGGTGCCACCATACACTAAAACAATTTAACAAATTCAAGTTGGCAATTTTTTCCCATTTCATAAATAAATAAACAGTATTATTTATGTATTATGTATAGTTACTGAATATATTTAGGAGTTGGGACTCCGTCCTGTCAAATATGTACTTACCCTTTTCTTGGGAGAGCCTATACAATTGTCCCACATTACCTGAAACATACTGTCCCACTTTCCCTAACTAGTTTGGTAAAGTGGGACAGCTGAAAAATAACTCTGTTTAAAAAATTAAATTGAACTTTGTCAATTTAAAGTATTTAATTTACTGCAGTAGTATATCATAGACATAATTACATAAAATTCGGTGCATTGCATTTTTTATAACATATTTACAACCTTAATATCAATACAATCAAAAGCACATGTCATTCACCTTAGACTGTGATTTCTGAGGGACGTTCCCCCAAAATGCTTGCCTCGTCCACAACTGTGACCTCAGACCAATAAAATCGTGTTTTTCGGATCATGTGCTATCTATACCAGCTCCCAATAAGAACTATTCTAATTGGTTCTGCTTTAGCCGGGAAATATACTTGTCATAGCTTAACTGTCCCACATTACCTGATGTCCCACAATACCTGAATTCACCTATATAATGTAACTATTGTTTTATTAGTTACCGTTGCCTTTTTTGCAGTTGCCAGTTTTTCATATTCGCCATACGACTCGCGGTGGCTCGTTCTTATAAGTGTGAGGTTCGTTGTATTAAATGTATTAAATGTCTTGGACGATGCACCTCCACGTGAGATTTCTTTGGAACATAAACGGCAAATAGCGAATTTTTCATTGTTTCTCGAAACGTCATAGTAATTCCACACCGGCAATGACATGACTGCGGCGCCAAAACATTTACGTCCCCACTCATCGTGTATGTCCTCACGCATTGACGTCATCAATTGTGATCGGTTCCTAAGATCGGACAAGTTTAACGAGTACCGATCGAGTCATAAAATGTGATTATCGGCCGATACCGATCTTCAGCCGATCGATCCGAGCATCCCTATTTTTTTTTTTATTTTATTCTCTGAGGACGTTGCATCTAAAGCAATTCCACTGTATGCCTGATGCATACTTGTGCATGAAGCTACATACTCTCTCTCTCTCTCTCACTCACACACACACACACACAGGTTTGTAATTATATCTTTGTGGGGACTCTCCATTCATTTCTATGGGGAAAACTCTAATCCCAACATGACGACCTTAACCCGTACCCAGCCGTAACCTTAACCATAAGTAACCAAACAAAATATGAGACTTTTTGCATTTTTAGTTTTTTGATTGCATTCACAGATCATTGTGGGGACCTGAAAATTGGTCCCCACAACATAAAAAACAGGTTTTTATTACATTGTGGAGGACATTTGGTTCCCACAATGAAATATACACATAATCCATACACACACACACACACAGACATACACTGTTAGACCTGGTTCGGAACAATACCATGCTTTTTTGTGAGGGTGGGAGGGGGGGGGTGTTATATAATGAGATGAAAACGACAATGGCTGTACTTATGTTAAGTCAGTTGTGTTTCTATAGTCATTGTATTATATTCCACAAGCTTTTTATTCTACAGGATCTACAAACCAGTCAGTGCATTCAGTGGGGTGTTCCAGAATCATTAGGTTCTGAAAAATGTGTTGCATTAAAAAGATGATGTACTTTTGAATACCTAAGTATTTTTAGATCCAAGTACTCCAGTATTTTAACTGAAGTAAAAACTTAACTGAAAAACTTGAAACTTGAAATTGGAATATTATTTGACAAGGAGTATCTATACTTAACTGAAGTAATGAAGTTGTGTACTTTGTCCACCTCTGTTCAAAAGTTACATACTGTATAGGTGTAAGCTATTTTCATTTGTTTGTCTGCTGAGTGCTTCTCTGCAGGGCTGCATATGTTTCCACTGGTTAGACGCAGCACAGGAAGACTGACCCACTGACTGCACTGTGCTGGGCTCACTTTTGCAGAGAGTAAAAACCACACAGAGAGAACAATACCTGCTTCATGTAAGACCCTGTTTCCTCTCTAGCTTACCCAGATCATGCTTTGAAGTATTCAGCCTAAGATATTTTATCCAAACAAGCCA